CCCCGGCGCGGCCGACGCGCCCCCCGCACGTCGAGGGTTCCTTTAATCAGTACAGGTGGGCTGGAGGAGCAGGTCGGCTCCTGTCGGGGGAGCTGGACGACACGGATTTGTTGCTGTTGACAGCAGCTCCTCGAACCCTTTCATCCCCCGGCCTGCTCTCTGTGTTGGAGCTGGCACCAGGTTCAGTCAAACACCTGCTCGGCCTCCGTGCTCCTGTACTTTCTCTTGGCTGCGTTGTTGTTCAGTGACAATTCACGTTTGTTAGAAAACGTGTGTCATTTCTCTGACTTTTTGACAAAAAACTCTCCTCTGTGGCTGTGTTTCTGCAGAGACAAGGTCGTTGTGACACATTTGCAACAGAGTTTGATCTGGAGGCAGAAGAGTACGTGCCCCTGCCCAAGGGTGACGTCCACAAGAAGAAGGAGATCGTCCAAGACGTCACACTACACGACCTGGATATTGCAAATGCGAGGCCACAGGTACGAGTCTCCTGATGTAACATAACATTATAGAAAAGTTTAACTCATGTAAATACTTTACAATTAATTCATCATTTGGGAATTGACTGCAGGGAGGACAGGACATTCTCTCCATGATGGGACAACTGATGAAGCCAAAAAAGACAGAAATCACAGGTTGGAAAAAAAAAAAAAAGACCGCTACTCACACTTACACCTGAAATGCAAATATGGAATTGAGGACACCTAAGGTTAAAAAAAGAAAATAAATTATTTTGTAAACTGTTAAATAAAAGTTTAAATGTGAAAAATCAAACAAATCTTGTATATTTTTTAAAAATTTAAATAAATCAATTTCTTGCCTTCAGATAAACTACGTGCTGAGATCAACAAGGTGGTGAATCGCTACATCGACCAGGGCGTAGCTGAGCTGGTTCCCGGTGTGCTGTTTGTGGATGAAGTGCACATGTTGGACATCGAATGCTTCACCTACCTCCACCGAGCGCTCGAGAGCTCCATCGCACCCATCGTTGTGTTTGCATCAAACAGAGGCAACTGTTTAATCAAGTAAGAAGTCAACGGTTCTTTAACAAACGTATTTCTACTGAGGTGACAGATTTGTGGCTTTAACATGCTCGCGTTGTCCACCAGAGGGACAGAGGACATCAGCTCTCCACATGGGATTCCCCGGGACTTACTGGACAGAGTCATGATCATCCGCACGGTGCTGTACACACCACAGGAGATGAAGCAGGTGAGTCCACCACAGTCTTCTTCTATGATGGAGAAGAAGTTGGTGTCGTTAAAAGTCTGACACTTTTTGGCTGTTGATTTTCAGATCATCAAGATCCGAGCTCAGACCGAGGGCATCACTATCAGTGAGGAAGCTCTCGCCCACCTGGCAGAGATCGGCTCAAAGACCACCCTCAGGTAAAGGGTCCGACTGGATGATGACTGAAATAAGTGAAGACTTCACTTTAGGTTTAACACTTCTGCTGAAAACCCCAGCGTCCTGATGGAATCCTGTTTTCTTGCAGATATTCTCTGCAGCTGCTGACGCCGGCTCATCTGCTGGGCCGAGTTCAGGGTAAAGAGAACGTGGAGAGAGAGCAGGTGGAGGAGATCAACGAGCTCTTCTACGACGCCAAGTCCTCGGCCAAAATCCTCCAAGACCAACATCACAAGTACATGAAGTAAAACTGGAGTCATATCCTTTCATAAGACGGAACTGGTGATACCTTCGCTTCAAACTTCCATGGTTTCACTTTTGTCACCAACCACCGTTTCTGTGCTGTATTTACTGTAGTAGTTTTGTTCTAATAAAATTTAAGTTTTATTGTTTATAAATGGAAATGATGTGTCGGTGGTTTGGATGTCACCGTCATCACACTGAGCAGATTCACCAGGAACAGTGACTTCAACAAAGTATGTGGAAATAAATCATGAAATGATTTTCATTGGAAGGAATGTAAAGGAAAAAAAACAAGGTCCGTTTCTATTGTGCCTTGTTTTTAGAGGGATTAGGAAAATGAAAGATGAACAGATGAGTTTTAACATCTGGACATCGTCGGCGCCACAGTTTACTAACCGACCACATTGTAAAAAGCAGCAACAAGAAGCAGGTTCATTGAAATGGTCTTTAATTTTCTAACTTTTTTAAAATAAATATGGGGTAAAATAAGTTGACTCAGTTATTTTTCATTTGGTAGTATTTCAACTTATTTCTGTTTTCATACATAAAAATGTGAATTATTTTGTTTAAGTGTGCACTGTCCAAGATTTAGTTTTTCCTTGACTCACAAGGCCCATAATTCTCATGAAGAATTTCACTGGTTGCCTAGACTGTGACTAATAAAGTAAATATAAGTTCTAACACAAATAAGGTAGAAACTGTTAATCCTTTTTTGTTTATTTTACATTATCTTTGTGCTTTAAATATTTAGGACACCAAAATCCAACAGATTAAAAGATGTTTGGACTCATTGTCAAATACAGGTCGAACTAACAAAACGTCACTCACTAATGTTCAGTTAACTCTATATCCAAAAACCTTTAAAAGTTATTGATCAGCTGTGTCTTCTACATTACATTGCCATATGAAAATATAACCCAACATGTTTATATTAGGCCGTTTAAACAGTCACTTACCGCAGGACATTCGCTGCCGCCGCCATTATCGGCCGCCATAGCTTCCATTGATGGACCTGTTGTTGACAAACGTATCGTAGATTTTGGTAAATTTGATCTTCTGACGTCTGAAGAGTCTGCTTTTATTGAGTCGCAGCCTCTCTGCGCTTCTTTTCCGTTTACGTCTATTCTAAAACAAGATGTATATAATTGCAAGAAACGTTATTTTTTTAAAAATAAACCGAAGTCGCTAACAATTAGCCAAGTTCACAACACACGCTTCCGTCACCGGGGAGGCTTTCAATAACGTGATTGGACCAGCTACCTGTCAGTTAATGAACGAACCAATAGGCTGTGTTAATAGGCCGAGCGGAGAACGAACACCTGAAGGAGGAGTGTTGATGGACGTGATTGGCCCAGCCCGGCGGGTTTGACTGACCGGTCAGATTTAAATGAATAAATAGCATTCGGCTCACCGGAAAAATGACTGTTACGACCGTTGGACTGCAGACTGATCAATATTGTTGAGGACACCGGCAACACGCGACAAGTCAAGTTCAAGTCAAGTCTCACAGTAAAGACTGAAATCCAGCAGCTGTATGAACTTATATCTTTAATTATATTTTTGCTTATTTTCCAAAACAAATCCATAAAACAATTTTTCATGATTATTCAGATTAATCAAATTTAACTCATCTGAGAGCCCAAATTTAAACACTTAATTAAACACATCTAAGTGATGCTTAAAGAGACAGATCCCACCTTTACAACTGAAATCAAGGCAGTTACACTGTTAAATCTACAAATTATTATCAGTGAAAAGTGTTTTAATAAACATGGAATAAACAGAAAAAAATAAGGTGTATTTCAGAATATTGTCTACTGGAGCCATCCCTCGTGTATGTGTTCCACAATGTATTTTTACAGATTTTTTTTACCGTATTTTTTCCATAATGATGGAAATCAATTGTTAAAAAAATCACCAGTTTCTTCACGACCTGTTCCAGGTCCAGACACTCAATTAAATAATTTAGGATTCAGGATTTCTGGAAGTCTGGGAATCATCCATCTCAGTTACAGTCACCAGTGAGTTAAAATGTTAAATTTAAACTTATTTTTAATGAACTGACATAGGGCTGGAGCGCTGACACCCTAACGTGGTCCAACCCCAGTCAGAGAGTGTGTAAACAGCTACTTCCTGATTGGCCGAGCGGAGCGTGTGTTGAACGCGGTCTCTCCTCCAGACCTCGCTCCACTGAACACAGATGGAGCTGCTTTTCCCATTTTCTCTGTAAAAGAAAGTAAGAAGAAAAAAAAGTAGTGTGTGAGGCTCTGGGTTTCTCCCTGTTTTATAAACACATGCTCCTCATTTGTCATGAGAGGAGAGAGAGAGAGAGAGATGGTTTAAGGGGACCCTCCCATCATTACCTCCCCCCTCTCTCCCCTGTATATGGAGTGGAAACTTGAGAATCATTAGAGAACCCAACTCCCACACACACACACACACACACACTTGAACTTCCCACACTCCTCCATTACTTCCAGGGTCTTGCTCTTGGCAGGACCACCAACACCAAGATTACTTCTTGCTTCACTCAGATCCTCGTCCCTCACTTCAGGACGCTGCATCTGTTCCTCTTCCTGTCCCGGCTGGAAAGACACAGGAAGACCAAACAAATAAAACAACATTCAACACAAATTCTACATTCTGCTGCGTTCAAGAACTCCAAAGTGGACGTACCTGAGACATTGTTGTCCGTCAGGGTGAAGACTTCTCTGAGGTTAAGGCCGTGGAGCTGAACACACACTCAGCCCAGCTCTATGTTCAACAAAAGCAGCAGAGATTCTCCAGTGGACAATAAATGTGTTTTAAAGACTAACAAATGATGTAATGAGTGTTCAGACTCCTCCTCCTCCTCCTCCTCCTTCCTCCTCCTCTGTCCCTGCCTCTGGTCTTTCTCATGGTCCCTCATCTTTCCTGCTGCATCATTAGACAATGATTAGGTCACTGCTGCAACTGGTGGCTCACGGTCTCCCAAGAAAAACACAACTTCTGTCTCCTTCTCTGGAACTTTCTCACCACCGTCGACCACAGTAACTTAGTTCAGATATAACATAATTAACAAGAGATCATCACAAATGATATTAAACTGTACCAACACATTCACAGGATCCAAAACTACAGTGAGATGTTATATAAACGGAGAGATCCAAACCGATTTTAATTTTTTTTTAAAATGGCTGCCACACACTGATTCACTCCATGAAGTGATAAGTTAAATTATCTTTTTTTAATTAAAGGAGCAGCTGTAATAAATAAATAACTAAATAATAAAGTCTTTCTTTAGTAAAAACCGAAGAACACGAGGGGTGAAACCAGGAAGTGAAAATTCTACTTCCTGTTTGTTTTCCTTAACTGTGTGGTCAAGGCAAACAAGCCACAGTAATTATCTGAGAAACAACAGTTTCACCCAAAAACTTTGATTTGATTCAGTGTCTTTTAATCAGACTGTAACAACACACTGTAGAAATTACAGTTTTATTTGTATAAAATAACTTCAAACACTTTCAGTGCTTTTTTTCTTTTTTTAAAATGCATGATTTTTTCCCATTATAATGACATCCTGAAACTGATCACGATAAACCCAGGAATGTTACAGTAAAAATAGCCCTAATACACACACACGCGCACCCACACACACACACAGACCCACACACAGAGGTCACTTGTTCCTTCCTAGCGTTCACACAGTCAGTAACCATGATTACTCCCCACTTCATCCACCCATTGTAGCTTCAAGTTTTCTGCCATTTTTGGTCAAATCTAAGTGCGTTTTTTTCTGTACTGAGGCAAAAGTTGACTCTCCACGAACTGAACGAGTCGAGTCTCCGTGACAACGACAACAGCCAGAACGCAGAAAAGACACACGGCTCCACAGCCAACGTGGAGCAGCCTCAGTAACCATCCTCGGTCACAGCAGAAAACACTCTGAAAACGAAGGAAAACACAGACGTCAGCGCGATTTTCACACAGAGACGCAGTGTTCACGGCTCGTGGCGTACCTGAGAAACTCCTGGGACGACCGCGCTGATAAAGAGAGTCAGCAGCAGGAGGGGGGAGGGCAGCAGGCCCCGCAGAGGTTTCCACGGACTGTGCCTGAAATAGTTGTGTATGTAGAGCAGGCTGTGGAGGATGCGGAGGCCCATGTTCAGACAGTTTGCCAGAATGAAGCCCACACCTCCAGCCCACCGGGTGAGGACGTAGGACAGGAAGAGGAAGGACACGGAAAAAGCCAGCATCACCAGGTTGTACCTGAGGAAACAAAAAAACAAAAAGTGTTAAATGACGAAGGTGAACAAAGTCAGTGTCTGTGTGTGTTTTTGACATTCTTACTTGTCGACCTCTTTTTGGCTCATGGCAGCAAATACAAAACACTCCGACACACCGTTGACAGCCATGAGGAGGACGTAGCAGCTGTAGCAGCGCAGCAACGTTGGACCTGAAATAAACAACGTTCAAACGTTCACTTTGTTCAACAGGAACTATGTTTGAATAAGAACAAGATTGACAAAATTCAACAAATTAATGTCTGAAATGTTTCAATTTAAATAGGTCAAACATATATTTTTGTTACGTGTCATTATGTTGTTGTCACGGCTCACTGACCTGCACCACTGCTCAGCAGGGAACCACCATAAATGTCCAGAGCCAGGTCAGCGTAGGTGTATCCGAACACTGTGATGATGAGACCGATCAGCGTGACCAGCTTCAGCAGACTCTCCAGGACGTCGGCAGCCACGGAGACCTCTTCCTGTGGTCACAGGAGAAGGTCAAGTTTTGACAGCTAATCTAAAAAAAAAACAAAAACTGTTTACTCTTCTAACATCTGACCTGTTTTTGTTTCTCCACGTCGCATCCTCTCTCCAGTACTTTGGCAAAGAAGATGTAGAAACTTTCCTCAATGGGCCAGAAGATGAAGCGAGCCACCATGGAGCCCAGATTACTGACGATGTCGTAGACACCCTGGTCTCCGAAGCTGAGGACGTTCAGGAAGGTCATGACGTAGCGTTCGCCCTCTGTCAGCAGCTGCTTCAGGAAGGACTGCTTAAAGAAGCTCCAGGTGAGACCGGCGAGGGACCAGTCGATCAGAGGCTACGGAAACAATAACCATCTGAAACAAACTGCCTCTTTTCATTTGTGACTTCTTCTGTTTTTGTCAAATACCTTTCCATTCAGTCCACAGGGCAGGAGATCCCGAACACTTTTCACAGGAAAATTCTTCTTGTGAGCTTCTTCTGAGCCCAGGAAATGGATAAAGTAAAGCACGTAACACAGAACCAGAACAGCTGTGTACGCCACCTACAGGCAAAATGAAATTATTTTTCATTTAATTAAGGACGTATTTAGAGGAATATTGACAGACACTTTGTCTAATTTCTCACATGAGCAGCTGCGAAAATATAAAGTCCCCAGTCCCGAGCTGTCACCACCAGTGCCACGGTTATGAGGCACTTAGCGATCATGGCTACGCTTTCAGAGACCACCTTCACACGGACAAACATATGAGCCTGAGCCAGGAACCACAGAGGCTCGGCCAGCAGCTCCTGCACTCCGGCCAAACCGAACAGCACCACAGCGGGGCCGTAGTACGGGACGGTCTGAGGATCTGGGACCTCCAGGAGCCACAGCCACACAGGGACCAGCAGGACGGCCCATACCAACCCCAGAGGAAGCCTGGGGGAGCAGGTGACGATGAGGGATGAGGGAGGTTTTTTTACTTTTACAAATAAAATACTTTTACATAAGAAACCTGCATTATTTCACTTTGCAGAAACAAAACTAATTCACAAAACCCAGAAATCTGCTTAACATTTTAGCACAGAAACCAACAATCCCTTTTTAATGAACTACAGCACAAACTAATGATTTATGGTTCCCATTTATTCATCACAAAAGAACCGAGGGTTGACACTGAGCTGTTGCTTCTGAAAGAAATGTAAAAACAATAAGAACTTTTTACATTTTATTTAGAATTAAAACAGAGAGTGGTTTCTTCTCTAAAAAAAAACACAGACAAAAAAACGACTATCATACATCAGACATCAATAATCTGAACTCACGTCAGCCACAGCAGGTTGATGACTTGTCTCCAGCTGTGGTTCGGTCCAGAGGTTTGTTCTCCACTCAGACATGCTTTGCGGAAAGCCTCTCTGGACAAAAACACTAATGTGGAGTAGAGGAGGGTGAGCCTGCACAACACAAACACAAACACAAACAAACAAAAACACAAACAAATTGAATTTGGTCTCATTCATCTGTAGCACACTGAACACAAGATTTTGCCCGAAATGTGCTGTAACATTTATTTTCACTTCTCCAATAAAAACGGAGCTGTGTGAACATCTCTGTATGACGATTAAAACAACACTGGACAAGTTTTTTCAATCCTTTTCTGTATTCCATGTAGCGTTTACTAACTCTTCCACACCTCGATTTAATATTTCCTCATAAACGTTAAAGTCTAAATCTAACCCTGTCCAGATTTAAAACCGTATTTTTAGCCTGATTGAGTGATAATATCACCTGACATTGACGACACCAATCAGCTCTTTAGACACGAACCGCAGCGTGAAGGCATTCAGCAGAAAGGTGAGAATCCGGAACGAGACCTGAAGGCGAAAGAAACCAGGTTAAACAGAACCACGAGTTCAGATTTATGTTCTTTATGGAACTCTGTTCTTCTCTGTACCTGTAGCACCACATTGTAGGACGCTAGTATGGACGCGCTCCTCAGCACCTCCTGTGAACTCATGCTGGGAAACACTCGTCCTCTGAGCCGCAACAAGCGCTAACTTTCTCATTGGAACATTCGAGAAGCAAAACCCGATTTTTTTTCATAAGAAAATAATCATTAAGACAAAACTACTGTAAACTACGGACGAGTTCATACGGACAGGAAAGATGACAGCGGTAGAGAGACATCACTTCCGTACACAGTGTACGTGAACACGCTACACCGTGCTGACGACGTGCTGACGTCATAGAGTGTTGCATTTAAATCTGCTGCCGCTAGAGGGCAATGTTATCACTTTGACAATCGATATAGGCTCATATTTTATAACTGCAAACGTTTTCGTTGCTTGCACGTGTTGACATCATTAAATTTAAATTTACGTTTTGACGTCAAAGGCTTTTTGTTGCGTTGTATATATGACACGTGAAATGACCAGTTAAAAGTTGGCTCTAAAAAGGCTTGCGTCTAAATCTACTGCCGCTAGAGGGTGGTGTTATCCTTCTTACAATGTACACAGAATTTAGTCTATACAAATTCTATCTCGGGGAAAGTTATCACGGCATCCAGTACTATAGAAATATTACTGTTTGCATTTTTGTAAATACTCTTAAAGCTTATCAGGTAAATTAAAATAAAACGCTCAGTTTATTATTGTCTGTTAAAGGAGACCCTTGTTTTGTTTAGTAATGACTGAACGCTAACGCATCTTTTTCCACATAGACAGAGATGGTGATATGAATGACTTTCAGCCTGTAATTTCACCACTAGATGCTGCTAAATCGTAGACACGTGAACTTAACCGCTAACAAGAGTCTACAGTTCTGCTCATTCACACATGGAAATATATTTTAAAAAAAACAAACAATAGACTTTGGAGTTGATGTGTATTTTTTTTATTATTAGATGTAAAATATGGAGACAGTAAAAAATAAAAACAATACATCCTGAAATAACCAATAATCATGTAACAACAACAACAACAACAACATTCTTTACATGAACAGTATAATACACAGCATTTTTGTGACTTCATACTCGTCGTTTACAGTCACGTACCATTACCCAGCTCTTCTGCAGACCCGGCTGTGTCCCTTTGCAACCCTTTCAGACGCTCACATGCAGCGTTAGCTTTGTCTACGTTTGTTCTTAACATGGCACCATTGAGTAAAACACACAACGGACAAGATTCATCCGAAGACGGGACGTAAGAAAACAATTAATTAGCAACAAATAAGAATAAAGTTTCAGGGATTTCTATACATGCAGTCGCCTTATCAATAGAATCTACAGCTGAGGAATACAGTACAGATAATTCTTGACTTGCCTCTTCATAACTGAATCTTAGTAAATGGGACACCGGATGGCTGCAGATGACAGCAGAGGAATGTAAGGTTTGCAGCCTACTGTCTTTTTATTTATTATTATTATTATT